AGCTCCGGGGGCTCACGGGGGCCGCCACCATCCTCTCTGTCCCCTGCATCTCTGCTGCGGTTGCCGGCTGGGCCTCCTCTCCAGTGGGCTGCAGGCAGCTCCCTGTCACAGAACAAAGAGATTCCTGACCGTAGGCTTGGGGTTGTATCAGGCGAGCCCCACCGTGTCACACAGTAGGGCCAGGGAGAAGGTACGCTCCCAGAAAAGGAAGGTGGGTGGGGAGGGGCTCGCGGCCGCAGACAGCAGCCGGCCCTGCCATTTGCCCTGACTGGGCCCTCCCCTGTCCCGCCTTGAAGGGCCCCAACTCTGCTCTGGCCCACTGGGTGCCACTCCGGCCCCTACTCTGCGTCCTTCTTCTTGCCCTCCAGGCATCTGGGACCTGCCACCACCTTCCGTTTCCCACCTCGTGGCTGTGGCCAATGCTGTGCCCTCTGCTGGGACTCTTGCCCTTTCTCATCATCTGCTAACTCCTGAGAGTCCTCCAGGTCTCGGCCTAAATGCCCTCTCCTTAGAAACGCCCTGACAGCACGCGTTGTGCGGTGGCGGTGGGGGTGTGAATGCGCTCTCCGGGCGGCACCAAGCCTGCTCTGCACACCTGCCGAGTCCGAGCTCCCACACATGTGGCCGGTGTGCCGGGCCGGCAAGGGCCGTACCCTGCTGGGGGCTCACGCCCTGCACGCCATCCTGCACCCCACTGTCCACCTGCAGCCCAGAATGCCATGCCCTTCACCTCCACGTGCGGGTCTGTGCTGAGCTGTGGGGTGGCGGGCGCCCTGCTCTGATCTGAGCTCCCTGTTGCCACCTCGGTGTTGTCCCGCGGGTCTGGCAGACCTGGTGACAGCCGCTCCTAGCACGTGAGGGAGGGGTGAGGCAGCTGGAACTTTTGAGAGGCTCTTACTGTCTCGAACCCTGCCCAAGTCCTGGCCCACGACTCCCTCCTATGCTGGGCCCTGATCCCCGGGGGCGCCCCTCTGATGCTGGGCCCTGATCCCCGGGGGCGCCCCTCACTGGCCCTCCAGGGCGTTGGCCCATTGGCTTCATTCCCGTGACCTGTCACTCGTCACAGCTCCACCGCACAGCTCTATCGCCCTGGGGACAGGATTTCACTGTACTCTCAGGGCCCTCGCACACCCAGGCCAGAGAACC